CTGCGTCGTTGTCGCATCCGACATGTTAATCGCCAAGTAATTCCGCGCATGCCCCCAGTACTCCCAAGGAAGCTCCATCGCCCATCCAAGCGTACAGGTGGCGCGCCTCTCTGCCGTCTACATGCGGCGCGGCTTTGGTCGACAACAGCTGCTTGCGACCCCCACATCGAATTGCACCGCTGTCGGACGTTGGAACCTGCTCGTCTCATGGAAAGCTTGCTGAAGTTCGCACGTCACTCACGTCGCTGTTGTTGTTGAAATGAGTTATTAACATGCAATTATATAGTGAAGATGGTGGACTTTCTAATGCGCTCATGAGGTTTGCCGGTACGTCACGTTGGGGGCGCTTGGTCGGGGCTCGGGATTGAGTGAGGAATGAGGTGGCGAGCACACCAAGGGTCGGCACGTAGGGCATGAAGCGACTCAGCAAGCGAGGGCACCACGGCGCGGCGAGCCAAGTGCCGGATATGCAATCGCGTGATAGTGGCGGCTTTGATCGCGAGCGCAGCAGCGGGAAGGTCACTCACGTCGCCGTGGTGTAGGACCGAGCACGACCACCGTTGCGGCGAGCGCAGAGCCAACAAGAGTCAGTCGTGGAGTGGGCGATGAGATTTACTCGGGAGACGCATGCTTGCGAGCGCTTGACGAGGTCTGCGCCTGTCGCTAGGATAAAGGAATGCCTCCTTGTACGAACTCTGCTCCAATATGGACTCGTGCCGACACTATCCGTCGTTGTCCATTGGGGTGTGGGAGTGGATCTGGCCATTGCGGCCGATCGCCAGCGTCGTCGAAAGCACGTGGGTTGCCGTTGGCCAATGCGAGCTCGCCGCGCTGACGTCGCACTGGCCCCAAGTACGTCACACCATAGGATGTGGCCTCGACAAGCGTTGAGTGAAGCACCGAGAGCTCCATGAAGGAATGTCTTGATGGCGCCAACGCCTTCGTATTTATGCAGCGATTTTATAGGTGTTGCACTAAACGCGTATTTATTCTGAGAGGTCGTATATTCTCAAGTCCGTCTCGCATCTTGTTTGGTCGTCAGTACTGGCAAGGACGGTGCAGTGCGGCCCACATACACGTCATGTGAAGCAAGACGCTTCTTTCGTGCAGCTCTCGACTAGCTCTCTCGACTACGCTCTCTTTCCAGTACCGATCAGCTTTGTGCGAGTGGCGTGTGTTTCTACCAACGTTGCCGGTCGTCGATTCCAGATGCCAAAGCCCACTCGGATTAGTCGCCATCACATTGAATGACTTGCTTTTCATACATTGTGCTCTGGTGGAGTCAATAGACAGTTCGTGCTATAGCCGCGGCAAGCTCACCCAAAGCGTCCGCTGTTGAGTTTGGCCAAGTATTTGGGATGCGAGTTAGCCAAATTACAGAGGCGTCTAATGTGGTACAAGCCAGTACCCTTGCTGCGATCAACATGACGCAATAATCTTGCTGCGTCACCGTCCCGCCAGATTTCACCAGAATTCGGACGCTCCGGCCACATTGCCTCACGCTTGATGGGGTGCTGCTGTCCACAGATCGCAATCGTCGTCCTATCCCCGGCGAACGATCAGCCCAGGACGACTCATCGCCCGCGGGGGTGGCGCCATTCGAGACACTTGTGAGAAGATCTCGGTCGTCTGAGACAGTGTGGGTGCGAAACCTCCAACAAATCATATCGCTCGGGTGTATCTTTTATGCGCGCAAGTTGCTCACTCTACGAAATCCACATTTGCCGCAGCATGCCAAGCAGCGTCCGTCTCGAGAGCCCGCTGCAGTCGCTCGAGTGGGTGGAGCCGACGCCGACGCCGTCGGCCTGCGCGCTCTGCCAGCGCGCGTTTCACTTTCTCCGGCATCGCCACGTCTGCCGCATGGTAGCCCATCCTCGTGCGCCGTGTATATCATCCATCGACCTGTAGTGCCAAGGCTCGGTGTGCAAGCAATGCTTGAGCAAGAAGCCGCCCAACTCGGTCAAGCTCTCGGGCCGCTTCGCCAAATGCTGCCACGAGTGCTCGCACCGCCGCAGCGCGCCGTCGCTGCCAGCCTACGACACGCCATCGCCACTGCACGCGACCGAGCGCCAGCGGCTCGCGATGCTGCACACGGCCTTGGACGTCATGAGCCTTCGACCAGAGGCGTTTCAGCAAGGCCTTGACGCGCTCTGCCACTTTGCGGCCGACGCGTTCCATAGCCCAATCGTCGCCGTGACCTTTATGGAGGCCAACGTGCACGTCTTCCAGGCCGCGGTCGGTGTACGCAGCCTCCCGTGCCTTCCGCGGGCCGACGCCCTCTGCAACGTCGCGATTACGTCCAAGCACCTCAACGTACGTCGCCTTGTGATCTCTTCTGCTTGCCTTCACAGTCCATGCAGGTCTACGTCGACTTGGCGGCCGCGCCCACCAAGTACGCAACGAACTCGTTCGTGCTGGCGCACGGCGTCCAGTTTTACGCCGGCGCGCCCATCTTAGTCAACGACGCCGCGATCGGAACAGTGTGCCTCATGGGTCCGTCGCCGCGGCGGCAGTGGAGCGACATGGAGACCGACCTCCTCCTCCTCCTTGCGCGGCTAGTCGCCGCCGAGCTGCTCAACATACCGCCAATGGGGCGGGTACCGCGTCGCAACTGCGCAACGCCGCGCGAGATGCTACTCCTCCGCGGGTCCGAGACCGAGAACCACACTGCCCACGCGCGCACATTGAGCCAAGCACGGACTAGCGCGATGCTGTCGCCGCGTCCGCACTCATTTTCGTCCGCGAGCAGTCTCATGCTCGACCCGCGCGACTGGGTGCCCAACCATGCGCGCAGCGGGTGTCGCGTCTGCCGCCGCAAGTTTTCATTTCCATTTCGACGCAAGCACCACTGCCGCATGGTACGCGCTTCGAACCGCCATGGCGCATGCTTTTAAACCTAACCCTAGTGTGGCGAAGTCGTCTGCAACGGCTGCTCGCGCCTACGCCCGTTCGTCTTGCCACTGCAGTCGCACTCGGTCCAGATCCGCATTTGCTCGGAATGCCACGTGAGCCGGCCACCGGACGTCCCGACGTTCTCGCCCAACATTCGCCTTGTCCATGCGTCACCGACGGCCGACGACTACCTCGTCTTTGCCCGCGACGACGCGCTACTGAGCATGTGCCCCAAGCAGCGCGCGTCCACCATGTACCACAACAGCCTCGAGGTTGAGAAGCTCGCCCGCGCGTTCGCCGAGCTGGTGTATGCACCCACAGCGTACCTCACGCCGGCGTCGGATGCGATGGGTATGTGGATGACGCTGCCGACGCCCGAGGCCCGGCGCACGATCCAGCATTTGCTCTCGGACTTGCTATTTCTCGAGCACTAACTAACACGGTCATAGAACCAAGGGTTAAATGTCGCAGTGGCCGCATCGTAAGTCAAGGCATCCTTGTTACCACACGCAAAATCGAGGGAAAAATCGAGGCAAAAACGTAGCAGTGGCGGGATCGAACCGCCGACTAGGCGGTGTCGACGGTCGTGGCTTCGTCGGCAGCGACAGCGTTCGAGCGCAAGGCTACCATTTCGTCGGTGGCCTGGCGCACATAGTCCTCCGTCATCTCAGACACTGGCGCAAATGCCAGGCGACCTTCGCACTGGAGGGCGTCCCAGCGCTCGCACGGGCTGCGAAGCATGTCGTCGACCATCGCGCGGCAGAGGCCCCAGCTCCCCCGGGCGATTTCACCAAGGAGCTGCGCACGCGTCCACTGCGCGTCGCCCCAAAACACATACACGGTTGGCTTGGGCGCTCCGAGGACCTCGAGGTTACTGGGCTTGACCTTGATGCCGTCGGTTGAATTGACGAGGCGGACTTGCCACCGCAATGCTTTCGGGTCAAACTTGAGCGCCATGCCGAGCTCGCCGTTCATCTCGGGGCGCGAGACAAGCCCTTGGATGCGCACTGCTTGCCCCGGCCAGAGCGTAGAGTCTGGTACTGGAGCAAAGAGGCGATAGGTGTGGAGAAGGGCGTCGTCCAGCGACGGAAGGAGCGTGTACCCGCGCAGCGCGCCGCCGAGGACGAGGCAGGTCGAGATGCGCTGCGGGTCACAGGGCCCGCCGGCGAAATGCTGCACTTGAATCGTGTCATCGAGCAAGGACCGGCGCAGTGTCGGGTAGGCGAGCCCGAGCCGGCGAATGGCCGACGCGACCGCCTCCTGCGCCGCGTCCAGATGCACTAGCGGGCGCGAGATGCACACGGCCGTCACGTGGTCGTCCGCGCACGTTGCGAGCGAGTCCTTTTGCTGCAGATAGAGCGTCGCGGGGGGCGTGAGCGCGGCCATTGCGGTCGGAACGTCAGCAGGCGCGACGCCGTCGAGCGACCCGCGCAAGGTCACCACGTACAGCGCGCCGTGAAAATGCATTTCAAGGCGGCTCGGGTCGTCCGGGTCGGGCGTCAAGCGCCGGCGAAAGTTGTTGAGGAGCGCGTCGTTGGGCAGCGAGAGCTCCATTTCCCCGCTGTCCGACATGAGCTGGCTGATGAGGTACACACCGTGGAACCAAAAATCGTAGCTGCTCGACGGGCGGCGCCGAATGCGTGGTTCATTGTCGGCGTTGCGGTCGGCTTCGAGCATCTCAGAAAAGCCAGGGCTCGCGGCGATGAGGCGGTGCGTCTCGATGAGCGCCGCAATCTCGGGGCCAGTAAAGGACGCCATGAGCTCGGCGCGCGTCGGTGGCGGGCATGTGTAGCGCGCAAGGCAGACGTTGCAAATGTGGTGGCGCTTGTCGTCCGTGTAGAAGGCGGGGTGCGTCGGCTGCGAGACGAGCACCATGCGCTGCCAGCGCCGGAGGCAGTCGAGGTGCACAAATTTTTGGCCTAGCACAAGGATCATGAATCATCGCCGGCGAGGAGGGCACGAGATAGGCGCACCGCCAGAGCACTTGCACGGTGAGATGAGCGGCCCGTCGGCCTCGTCGCCAAAGCAGTAGCGGCACAGCACCTCGTCGTCGTCGCCGTCGTGCCCCATGTTCGCTTCTGCGTCCACGTGTGGATCTTCCCAGATTGCCGTTCGGCATTTCAGCCAATCACAGGCGGCGAGGCCCTGGCTTCTGGGACAGGGGCACACGTCGAAGAAGGAAGCCACCGTGGCTGCTGCTGCGTTGCACAGATTTGCTTTGTTCTCTAGGTCAAGGCGTCATCGTTGTTTGCGCACAAGTCTAATTCAGGTCGCTTGCTCTATACATTTTTGCTCCAAGTAATCCTTGCGCTGGAGAAGAGAGCCTTCCAACGACCCGATGACGAGTGCGTTGTTCTCGAGGAAGAGGCGAGAACGAGACCGAGATAGCAGCACGGCCCATGCCTGCATTATTTGATGAGGAAGAACAAGCTTTGACCTCCGAGGTCCAACGCCTATGATGTTCACAACCTGGCAAACAGAATTAAATACACTGTTTTATATCGAACAACAACCTGCTCTTCCTAGACATATACAGTCGCAAGTGGGATCGTTGCCTCGCACAGCAGCATAGAATCCGTCTTCTATCGAGACGGCCATACACTCCTGCACGCTCGACGAAGACTGCGATCGCGAACACTGCAACGAGCCGGATCCACTGTATCGGCCCGACCCGCCAGCATTGCCGCACCAAACGTCCAATTCGAACCTTTTGCCAGCGGTTTTCCCAGCGTTCGAATATGGCCAAGATCGCCAACCGTCGGGCTTGCATCCCCGCCCTTGCCATTTGAACACAACGACCCAGCGAGTTTTGCGTCGGGTACACAAAACAAGATCGAGTTTATATACATAGGTTATACACTGCACCGACTGCTCTTCCTTCCGCGGTCGTCGTCGTCGAAGAAGTCGAAGGAAAAGGGGTCGAAACCCCCGCCGCTTCAGGCACACAAACCCCGCGAACATTAGCGTGTCGTTTCCCGTTGACTGGGCCACTGTATGATACGTATCCGGAGGCTATCTGTATCCGGATTTCACTCTTTTATCCGGATCCGTCAAAGATACAAGCGTCGATCAGTTGCCAATTGAGCCATGTCCGTGCAAGCCGAGCAGATGAAGGCCAAGGCCAAGGCGTGCTGCGCGAGTCCAAAGGGCGTGATCACGTACCTCTGGTTCGTCATTCTCTTCTTCGCCGTCATGTTCTGCCTCGGCGCAATCGTCTTTGCGGCCAACAACAACCAAGATGGCATCCAGTACAGCAAGAGCTTGGGCTTTGCCGGGATTTGGATGATGTTCCTCGTCATCGCGCTCTCCATTGGCGGTACGCTCGTCATGCGCAAGTACGCGTCCGCGCTCTCGGTCGGCTTCTTTATCGGCGTCGTCGTCATGATGGCTTTCAACATGCTCTCGCTGAGCGTGCTCTGCTCGGGGGCCGCGTACATTGCACGCCTCGCCAACAATGGCACGGAAGAAGCCAACCCGCGCGGGCCCGTGCACTCGGACGAGGCCTCGGCGGTCTTTTCGTTCTTTATGTTTGTGCTCTACGTACGTAGTCTGGTTGTGTGCAAAGCGTCACTGGTTTGCCCTAGAGCGTCTTTGCGGTCGTCTTGATCAAGCACCGCGCAGTGGTCATCAAGGAAGGCTCTTTGAGCGACCTTCCGGACAAGAACATGCTGCCGGTCGCGCCCATGGGCCCCTCGTCGCCCAAGGTCGCCAAGCTCGACGAAGTGTCCAAGACGTCGGCGCCGCCCGTCAGTGTTTAAGCAACATTGACCAAGCGGACGCAATTCTTCTTATTCAAGCGGCGTAATATAGCTTGCATTTCATATCTGCCGGATCAGTTCTTAGGTGCATCGAGTATATATTGGTCGAGTTTGTAGTCGGTTGGAAGATATCAAGGCGAAACAACTCGTCCGAACAATTAGTTGCTCAATGCCATCATCCATTAAATACGTGCATCACTAGTCGTAACGGCGCCGATCTTTCAAGGTCGCACCATCAACGCATGGCCGAGCCATCGCCCGAAGCGCAAGTGGAGCTCGACACGGCCAAGCCAGGGTCTGGCATCCTCCGTTACGTCTACCTTCTTGATGCTGCGGTAGAGACGGCGTCAACTTTCCAAGGCCGGGCGACACGGTCCGCATTCACTACAGCGCCAAGGTAGCTAGTGTTGCGATGCACTCGACGAGCTATGTGTTCGGTGTAGCTGCCCGACGGGACTCTCTTTGACTCGACGCGCAACCGAGGTCGGACTTACGAGTTCCAGGTCCTTTGGTCGAGCGACGAGGGTGTTGAGAATGCGCGATAGTAGGTTGGCGCAAATCAAGTCATTCGAGGCCTTGACAGTGCCATCGTGCGCGTACGCAGCTAGCTTTGGCGCGCTTGTATGGTCTCACGTCATTGCTAGATGAGCAAGGGACAAATTGCGCGCCTGCGCATTCCGCCGTCGATGGGGTACGGGGAGCACGGGTACCCCCCCGTGGTGCCCCCCAACACGGAATTGTTTTACGAAGTCGAGCTCATTGTCTTTTCTTCCCTCTAAGTTAGTGTACACTCGTCGTCTATGCTACTTGCTGCTCGTTTTCTCTTACTCTGCCCTTCGAACCGGTGGCGTTGGGGACGTTGGCGACTTGGTCGCTCGGACAAGACTTGCACCGCCGTCAGCCGTCAAGAGCGAGTTGAGGTACAGTCGCTCGACGGGGACGGGGGCCGTCGTTGCGCGCGATGTAAAGGGCTAGTACAAACGTTGTCGATACATTTTCGACAACAGGATACAAGTATACCGTCGGGACAGCGAGAATGACGGGCGTCGCGGGCGAGTACGGCTCGGTGCTGTCGAGCGTCGCACCATGCGGGGCACAGCCGATGCCTTGGAAAGCTGCGGTCTTGGTGGTGCCGGACGCGAACGTCAAGTCAAAGTCGCCACTGACCCATTTTGTCGGCGACCGGTCGCGCCACTCGGGAAAGACTGGCGGCTCGGTCCACGTCATATCAAACTTGTCCGACTCGAGCTCCGTGGACGCAGGGTCGCGCACGACCGTGTTGTAGCGCAGCGGAGCTTGGATCTCCTTGGGTTTGTGGCGGAGTCGAAAAGGCGACTCGATCGGGTTGGCATACTTGTCGTGGTGAAACTAGAAGACATTGGAAATGTTGCAGCAGACCAAAGAAATCTATCCCATGCGTACGACGGCGGTCGGGGTGCGAAACGGGGACGTTGTTGTTGCGGGCGGGGCGGTCGACAGCGCCATTTTCTCCCCCCCGCCCCGGAATTTGCGACCTCGCGCCTCGTAGTTGCTACGTTCGTGTAGACCAGTTGTCTACAGAATAGCCTACCCTGCATCAATGTAGCGGGGCTGCATCTCTTTGGTCGTGTCGCGCGGCCATATCCTACACCCACGTTTTGTTCATAAAGATCGTATTGGGTTGTGTGTGTCCATACAGTGGGTTGGTCATGGTCTTGGCGTGGATGCCATAGTCGGTCGTCCAATGGGCTGGCGTTTGCTGTACAAATTCTTGAACGCGCTCGTGGTACCCCGCGTACATGTCGGCGCTGGTCCATATTCCGTCAATTCGATATGGATAACATGGTTCTCGTACGTGGATTTGCCGTACAGCCGATGCACGCGCTTCTCCTTTGTCGACGGCGACTCGTCCGCGAGCTTCTTTTGCAGCTGCGCGTCGTGGCGCTGCCGCTTCTCCTGCATGCGCTTGACGTCGAGCGAGAACATGCGGCGCCTTCGTGTTCAGTACGCTCAAGAGGCGGTTCAAGCGACCATATAAATAGCTTGCTGCTCCAGTACGTCGTGCCACTTTAGGAAGCATCGCGTGTGACGGTATGCAGCGTCGCCCTTGCTTTGATCCAACGCTAAATCATACTCCGCCACATCGTCTGGGTCGGGCTCATTCTGGCGCGAGGGCTCGTGTTGACCGCGTTGAAGGTGCGTTGAATGGAAGGGCACGTTCCTTTGGCTCTGGGGGCAGATCCCATGGCGCAATGCCATGCGATGCGTCGGTATCGCTTCCACTGAGGGCACTGTTGGTGGAGTGCTCGTTGGTCGTTCTCTAGAGCATGAGCGGAGTGCGCCCCGTCCTTGGACGCGGACGACGCGGGCCCGACAAGATGCTTCAAGGGCGTCACTCTCGTTTGAGCCGAACTGGATGGATACTACTATTATATAGAAGCAGGCTAAACAACGGTAGCCGTCCAACAAAGGTGGCCGTGTGGCATGAAAAGGTGGATAAATACACTGTAAAGCTACAATGAAATGTCGGATAAAATACACTGTAAAGCTACACGTTGGCTCGTCGCGGACTCGCTTCTCCTACTGCATCGCGTCCGTTGGCGCGTTGGTATTTGCTCTTCCGCAGTGGCATAAGACATGTTGTTATTCTTCTCTGGCTCTAAACGAACTAAGGGCTCCTCCTGGGACTCCTCGATACTATAACAGCGTATCTGAAAGCGACAAGGTCGTTAGTGTTGAACAGCCTTTGGCGCCACCGCGTGCATGCGTGTCAACGGAAATTCCGCAGCACGTTCGGCGGCGACTGCGAATGAAGGTCGTTGTGTGGTTTCTATTTACCACCTTTCACACCGTTTACGCACCGCTTCCACGTGGGAAATCGAGGTGGTGGGCAGAATTCAAGCACGAGCATGGAACGCAAGCAGCGCTACGGCAGCATCCCGCTCTGGGAGCTCAGCAACCTCGGGACGTGGCGATCGCTCAACGGCGCCGTCGACGCAGACCCGGCGCCGGCGACGACGACGACGGCCGAGCCGCCGGTCGTGCGTGCCCACCTTGACGTCCGTGGCCTCACCTGCGGCACGTGCCGCCTCGAGTTTGAGGACGTCAAGGAGCAGCAAGCGCACTTCAAGACCGATCTGCATGTGTACAACTTGAAGCGCAAGTCCAAGGGCCTCGACTGCGTGACGCTAGCCGCCTACGACGCCTTTGTGGCGTCCCAAGCCACCACGTCGACGACGCCATTGGCGGCCGACAGCGACGAGGACGAGGCGCAGGATGTGTACCGGCATCCTCTGGACCTCTCAATCTCGAGCGACGAGAACGACAGCGACGATGAAGGCAGCGACGCCAACCTGCAGCGCGAGCCGCTGCAAGCGTTCACGGACAACACGACGCTCTTCAAGATCTACAACGCGTCGTTTCCGCAGTGGTCGGAGAAGGACAAAGCGACCTTCCAAGCGAGTACCGACATGGTGCAATGCTTCTCAACGGACCCTACGTACTACCAATGGGCAGTCTTCCTCTTCCGCGCAGGTCGGTTTGCCGGCGCCGTCTTCCAGAAGGACAAGGTGCTCGTGCACAAGGCTTTCCAGCGCTACACGACGCGCCGGAAGCAAGGCGGGAGCCAGTCGGCGCACGACGCCGCCGGCGGCAAGGCCAAGTCGGCGGGGGCGCAGCTGCGTCGGTACAACGAGATGGCGCTCCAGCAGGACATTTCGGAGCTCCTCACGCTCTGGAAGACGGAGCTCCAAGGCTGCAAGCGCATCTTTCTTGGGTCGGCCAAGACGTCGCGCGGTCTCTTCTTTGAAAAGACGGGTTTGCAAGCCGGTGCGTCTCGCGAGGCTATCGGCACGCCACTTATCCTACCCTCGATTAGATGACCCTCGCATCCGCAAGGTCCCGTTCGGTACGCTGCGGCCAACGTACGACGAGGTCTGCCGCGTGCGCTCGGTCCTCGGCAGTGCCTCCTACGGGCCATTTGTCGCCTCCGTGTACGAGCCCAAGCCCATGGCGGCCAAAACACCGAAACAGAAAAAGGCGTCCGACCAGCCAACAACCGACGCCATC